CGCGAGATTCGCGCCTCGTAATGCTGAGACGCGTCTTGCCTTTCCCGTCACGCGCGCGAGACACGGTTACCACCGGCAACGTTGCGAGATTCGCGCCTCGTAATGCTGAGACGCGTCTTGCCTTTCCCGTCACGCGCGCGAGACACGGTTACCACCGGCAACGTTGCGAGATTCGCGCCTCGTAATGCTGAGACGCGTCTTGCCTTTCCCGTCACGCGCGCGAGACACGGTTACCACCGGCAACGTTGCGAGATTCGCGCCTCGTAATGCTGAGACGCGTCTTGCCTTTCCCGTCACGCGCGCGAGACACGGTTACCACCGGCAACGTTGCGAGATTCGCGCCTCGTAATGCTGAGACTCGTCTCGCCTTTCCCGTCACCCGCCTGGGACACGGTTGCCGCCGGCGCCGGCGTGAGATTCGCGCCTCGTAATGCTGAGACGCGTCTCGCCTTTCCCGTCACGCGCGCGAGACACGGTTGCCGCCGCGAGATTCGCGCCTCGTAATGCTGACACGCGTCTCGTCGCGCGTTTCCCGCAGGAGCGGCCGAAGATGTTCGCGAAGGACGCCGAGGTGACGGTGGAGAACGTCATCAAGAAGCTGCACGAGATCCTGGCGGCGCGAGGAAAGAAGGGCACGGACCGGATGGAGCAGATCGAGCTGCTCGTCGAACTCATGAACATCGCGGAGGCTCACAACCTCGGCTTCGGCGTCAAGGTGAGCGCGCGCTCGCACACGCGAGAACGTGCGCAGTTAGCGTGAGTAGGTGTGTTTAATTAGCACGCAAATGTGTTTAGTTGGCATGCGAAGGTGTTTAGTTAGCACGCGAGCGTGTTTAGTTAGCATGCGAATGTGTTTTGTTAACATACGAATGTGTTAAGTTAGCACATTAATGCGCTTAGGTATCACGTGAATGTGTTTAGTTAGCACATGAATGTGTTTAGTTATTGCGCGGATGTGTTTTGTAAGTGCGCTAAGGTGTTCAATTAGAACACGGTGTTGAATTAGCATGCAGACGTGTTATATTATCGTGCGAACGTGTCTGTGTAGGTGAGCAATGTGAAGGCGTTTAGCTGGGTATAAAGCTGTGTGATGGTGTCTGGCTGTGTGTGAAGCTGTTCAGGTACATGGAAAGGCGTTCACCCGGCTGTGAAGGTGTCTAGATGGGTGGGAAACCACCTCTTAAATTGACTACGTCACGAATTTTCCATGGTAAAATTTGTAAAAAAAAAAATTGCCATTTTTTTACATTAAAAATAAGAACTGATGTTACCAAATATATCCTCAAACTCTTACCTGATAAAAATGTTTTTACGTTGGTTAAATTTGCAAAAATCTAGACGATTTGGTAATTTCTGTTGTCTAACACTATTGCCCCAGTACTGTTCAGATACTGGCGTCTCTCTGTTTTTCACCAGCAAATTAGGGCATATAAAGAAGGTATATAAGCATGAAAAGTAAACAAAAACACTAATTGTATTTTCATACATTCTATTTTGTACAAATAACACACAAATATACTACTTGATGCTGCTAGAAATTCGTGACGTATTCACTTTAACCATCATCCTTGTGTCGTTGCAGACGAAGATCCTGTTCAACGTGACGATGTCGGTGTACGACTACAACCCGAACGTCGTCTCGTGCATGAAGCCAGACATGTGGCAGAAGTGAGTTCGCTCGTCCACCTTTCCTCCACCGTCGCCACTTACTCACGCACGTTACTGAATATGCCTGAACTACGTGTGCAATGCGTGTGCGTGTGCGTGTGTGCGTGCATGTCTGCATGCATGCATGTGCGCGTGCGTGCGTGTATACCACCTATACATCGTATTCTTACATGAGTTCATAGCCTCGTTCATTACCTGCACGCGTGTGTGTGAAGTTAGCGCCGTGAGTTGTCTGTTCTGAGTGGTTAGGTTAGGAGTGATGCGCTCGCGTGCTGGTTGCGCACTTTTCATCGAGTTATTGTTTCGTTTTGCACCAGGTTGCTCGATCTGATCCAAGAGTTTCTACAG